GTTAGTATTATTATTATTATTATTATTATTATTATTATTATTATTATTATTATTATGGATACTAATGTCTCATTCCCCTATATGTTTAATTAGCAGGTTCGGGCATGACAATGAGTCAGTGTAACTACACACAAGTGGTGGCAGCGAAACAACGGGTGAGGTATTCAATGTTCATGCGATAGCCCATGTGGGTGTCTCTATTAATAGGAACTAAGCATGCTCATCAAGACACAACATGGAGTGTAAAAGCACAGAGCCCCCCATGGACGCTAGGTTTTTGTTGTAGTATATTACCGGAAAAATATCCGATTAACAATATATCGCATTTTCTAGATTTTTTTGTGCACAGTTGAGAAAACGTATTTTCATCTACGTTTCTTTTGTACGTTGTCCTCACTTGGCTCCTGGGGATTCATCTGCAAAACATATTTCAACAACTCGTCTGCCACATTAAATATTGTCACCACTGTGGCACGGAGCGTCAAAGAGGCATAACTTTATTATTAGGGATCTTAAGCTGSAGGATGGCAACRTGGGCGACAACGTCGGCGAAATTGAAGCGCTTCAACCTTCTATTGTATTATTATTTCGTGTCTTGATAAGCTTTTGGCGTAGCAGTTCTCTTTAGTACGTAAAAATAGGACATTTCACGTCTTACTTTCAGCATAAGACCCCGTCCACACGTATCCGGAAATTTTGGTATCCGCAATTTTTTTTTTTTTTTTTTTTTTTACGGATACGGGTTGTGTCCACACGTGTCCGCAAATTTTTGTGTCCGTATCCTCAAATTTTAAAGATAATTTGCGGATACAAAATTTTCCGGATACGTGTGGACGGGGCCTAAGACGGCAATGATGCACAGTATTTCGTACATTCCAACGAGTATCTATTGAATAGCGCAATTAGTGCTATTGTATGCTTGCCGTCGTCGTCGTCGTTGCCGTCCTGCAGCTTAAGGTCCCTATTATGTTAAAAATAACCAGTTATCGGCCTTCAGCTCGTGCTTATGTAATATATTAACCTCAGGCTCAAGTAGCCYCTCGCTTCAGGTCGATAGCCCTCAATAAAAGCTATAAAAACGTAAAATCTAAATTATCGAGAAGAGAAAGCTCAATAACCAATAACCGAACAATTTTCCTTCCAGTCGTTTTGTCAAAACGCGTTTAAGAAATGATTTCAACAACGATAAGAAAACTAGGAAAACGGAGAACCCGGAGGAAGACCCTCGAAGCACAGGAGAGAACAAACAACTCTACTCACATACGACATCGAGATCGGCAGGACTCGAACTCGGGGCGCATTGGTGAGGAGCGGCGCATTAGCAGCGCACGCCACCGGCGTTACCCCTTAAAAGAATTATAATTAAGAAATAAAATGACTCTGTCTGGCGGAAAGTTGGGGGCGAATTATTGACTAGATCAATAAAGATCGGAATTCTCGGTAGGGTCTCATGATTATAGCCGCGGGGATCATTTGCCCACATTGACCGATCATACGTGCATGTTTGAACGTGTTGTGGACATCAATCATTATTAACCAACCAACCAGCCAACCAACCAACCAACCATCCATCCAAGGGCGGCAAAAATCTTTAAATCTTTTAAATATTTTGAGGGGCTAATTGAGTTTCTTCCGTCAACACAATGGAAAACAAATTAAAAAGCATCGTTTTTTTCTGCTGAGGGGGGGGGGGTGGACTTCAGCCCCCCTGGATTCGCTGTTGCCATCTTTAATCACCCATCCACCCATCCACCCATCCACCCATCCACCCATCCACCCATCCACCCATCCACCCAATTCACTGGCCATAGACCCACCCACTCACCCTCCCCTGCAGTCCATTATTCGTCCATTTTTTTCCATTTGTCCATCCATTTATCTCTTTCTTCATCAACTCAAAAAAAAAAACGATAAAAAAGGACAGATATTTCATTCACAAAATTCTGCTTTTAGTGAACAAGTAAGCCAGATGCGTGTTAATCTCTTTCAGCAGGTGTTAATACCTGTCGCCTTTAGCCTGGTTCAGATGAATAGATTAATGATTYTGAACACTCAAAACTAGTTCTTATTTACATTATACGTTTATTCGTATTAATTAGAGTCTGATATTAATACAAATTAAAGTGCGAATCTATTCTTGGTCGTATTTCAAACACACCCGCTTGTTGGCTTAAGGTTATGTTTCGATCGTGGAGTGCAATAAAACAGGGATTAGAGTCGTGAGTCTCGGCTTCGGTACTTGATGAATAAAAA